GTGTCCACTTCTCCCCATAGCTTTGTGTCATCCGCAAACTTGGACAGAGTACATTTCACTCCCTCGTCCAAGTCACTGATGAAGACATTAAAGAGTATCGGTCCAAGGACCGAACCCTGCGGGACCCCACTTCCCACACCCTTCCAGGTCAAAACCGACCCATCCACCACGACTCTCTGGGTGTGACCCTCTAGCCAATTCGCCACCCCCCGGACTGTGTAGTCATCCAAGTCACAGCCTCTTAACTTGTTCACCAGTATGGGGTGGGATACCGTATCGAAGGCCTTCCTGAAGTCTAAGTATACGACATCCACCCCTCCTCCTGTGTCCAGGCGTTTGTAACCTGGTCATAAAAAGAAACTAGATTGGTCAGGCACGATCTGCCTGCCACGAACCCGTATATGTTTTATATGGAATCTTCAAAGTGTGCAAAATCTAAATTTTAATTAAAAAAAATAAAGCTTGTGTAGCTAAGCTACAGATGTCACACATGAACCAAGAGAGACCAAAGTAAGCCTGCAGAATCCCTGAAGTAACAACTGTTAAGTTAATCAGAGCGTCATTCAAAGTGCAGCGTCAGGACCAATATTTACTATTCCATTGGAGTCATTTCTAGAAGGTAGACTGGGAAAGCTGGTGGTTGTAAAGCCCTCATGTCACAGAAGCTGGGAGTTGCTGAAAGGAAAACACTGCAGAAAGATAAGAGAAGACTCCAAAAGGCAGGACTGAGGGAGAAAAACAGTGAAAGGAGCATGAAAAAAGAAACAAAGGGCTGGATTAGTACTGGTCCTAAAGGGGAGCAGGAACAAAAAGGATCTGAACAAATAACTAAGAGATGAGTTACTACCTAAAGGTCACTTTGGTCTCTGTACATGCCAACCTCCTACTGACATCAGCTGGAAACCCACTGTAGACTGGGGAGGCCTACAAAGTTATGAATTTACATCCTGGCTCTCACACCATAAGTAACAATCTCTTCCAAAGGTGTCAGACATTTTTGATCTGCTATAATTGACAGGTTCGTATTATTCAAATACAGTTATCTTGTTCATGGTATTATATAAAAGGGGCATTCTAGGAAAACAATATTTTAAACCAGTTTAAAAATAATACAAAGAATACATTTCCACACAAATCAGGATAAACCTGAAAGATGGAAAAGCAAGGTGTCAAAAGACATGTAATTTTCATACTTTTGATAAAAATTAAGGTAGAGTCAATATTCTCTGACATAGCAAGACTGAGAATGTTTTGGCAGATGAAAACACAAATACCATCTTTCAAGTCCTATTTCCAGGCCAGTAGTTCGAAAGAAACTAGAAATTCCTTGGTATATACCTTCTCCACATTTAAGGAGTCCCAATTTGGCTTGCTCTTGTCTCAAGACTATTCTGCTACCCTGACAGAGATAGAAATCACAACAGTCCTGCAGCCCACTCAGTGGTTACATCAAACTCAGGCTGTCCAAGACAACGTTACAATAGCAAGAACAGCTCAAGTGCTAGAAGAGAAGGGAGAAAACGCCGATGGCTGTGTTGAATTGGGGATTTCTGGGAAGGCAGTTTTGTGCTTAGGAAGAAGCACTAAAAAACCTGACAATATTATGGTACAGTGGATGCTGAAATAGGAGATAAGGAAATACGACCTGAACAAGCCTTCAAAATGATCTGGACAGGTGAGCCATATCTGGGCTGTTACAATAGAGATGAGGTTGCTTATTGAGATTACAACCAGATCTGTGAAAGGGCATGGAAATTAACACATTTGGACATGGGATGTGCTTTTTGTTAAGACTTGTCTTTGTAGATGGGGGGGGGGGGGGGGGGGGGGGGTATAACTGAGATAGTGTTTTACTTGCAACCCTGTGAAAAGATACATCAGTGATGTCCCATCTGCCCACTACTGCACCTCCTTGGGATTGACTACAAGCATGCCATATCTCCTCAACTGCAATGTATTTCAAGCAACCTACACCAGAAGTATTATCAACTGCCCATGAAACATGATTTTTTTCCTGGAATTACTACGGGCTGAGTTGATCAGAAATCAGATTTGCCTATCCTACCAATAGCTGGTAGAAGAATAGGTATCGCGTGACCCATCAGGACCAGAACCAATCATTCTGCACTAAAAAAAAACAAACTTCTTTTCCATTGGCATAAAGCTTTTTATTTCATACCTCTTGGCCCTGAACAATTGGACCTATTGTTTTAATTTCATCTACTTTATCCTCAAAGTGCCCAAGCCCCACTAATGGCTTATTTATTCATCCATGCAAAACTCATGCAAGATGGGCAAATACTAGATCCATTTCATAGATAGGAAGCTAAGTTACAGAGAGAATAAGTAACTTGCCTAAAGTTATACAAGATATCTGATGAGTCAAGATTTGAATCCAGATCTTCTGTGTCCTAGTTCATTGCTCCATCTACCAGACCCACCTTCCTACAGGGGAGGCATGTACTAAACATATTCTCAGTGCGAAGGTGAAACCCTAGGTAGGCCAGGACACTTGACTCAAAGCTGTAAACTGCTCTCTAGCCAAATCTGTCTTTTGACAGAGATGATGTCAAGGAGTTAAAACAATTAGAAATCCCTGGATTTAAATATGACTGGGGTTGTAAACAGAAGTTGCAGAAGAGCCAGAAATGACAGCGAGTGAAGGAAAACAATGAGGAAGATGTAGAGCAACCCCAAACTCAGTTTCACAGAAAGGTTATTTATTTTAAAAAGTTAAATATAAACTAAAATCTAGCACCAGGCAGAAACACGACTGCTAAACCTAAGTAGGCAGAATTACATTAAAAATTAACAAATCTAATGGCCAACATTTACAAAGCATTTTCCAAACATTAATTCAAATAAGCCTCACAACATCCCTGTGAGGTAGGTGAGTGTTATTAGCCCCATTTTACAGACAGGGAAACTGAGGCAAAGAGCAAATATGCAGCCTATTCAAGGCCACACAGCAAGTCAGTGTCAGAGCCAGGATTAGAACTCAGGTTGTTACCATGTGCAGGGATGCTTTAGAAGATGGTGCTTCTCTAAAGAAACCTCCCCACAATCCATTGCAAGACAACTGACCCCATTTCACTACAGAAATTATGCATCATGGTATCTAAACAGAAAAAACTGTACTGGAAAGTAATAATTCTATAGACAGTGTGCTGCTGGCAGCTCCTATGTTTTTAAAGAAGTGGTATTGGTGTTCCCATACTGCCAGCATCAAACAATGTCACATTTTATCAGGTGATGGCCACTGGAGGCCTCGCTGCACACAACTCTCAAAATGGGACAGCAGTGCTGCTTCTTCACCTCATTCGCACAAAGGCATCTCTCTTCATGGAAGGTCTCCTCCTGGTGCCTGTCACCAGAAGCAAGGAAAGGAGATGGGGGCAGGGGAGAGGGAATTGTGGGTCTGTAAAGAGGTGCAGCTGTAGAAGGAAGAGATCAGTTCATATCTGGCATCTGGCAAAACTGAAAAAATTCACAACCCAGGCTGAGAATCCAGGTCAAGAAGGTAAACCTAGCAGCACCACACCACTCTGAAGGGATAGCCAACATCAACACCGGGCACTCTCCTCTCAGGGTGGTGACATCCCCTTTTCCCATACTTCCTCCAGATTAAAACAGTCTAGAGGTGAAGGGCCAGATGAGGCCCCCAGCCCCATCTCTGTAAAATAAGCTTGTAAGGAATCACAGGCAATTTCATTCAGTATCTAGTTAAAAGCTCCATTGTTAAGTCCCCAAACAGCCACTGCTGGCAGCGGGACTCTCGCTGAGAAATGGCAAGCCCATGTACTTGCAAATCCCACGCGGAGGCCGAAATAAAATAGTTCTTCCATGTTAAGTGGCTGCTTTCCCTGTCAGACCCAGGTTTCAGTCCTCTGGAGGGATCGTTTCACGACAGCTCAATCTGAAGGTCCTCCCCATACTTTCGGATCAGCTTCCCATGATTGTGGTCCACTGACCACCGCACTGGGAGGTGCTTGGGCTGCATGGTGTCCAGGAAGTGCTGACGCCAATGCCTCTCCAACTGCATGAGGGAGCGCAACCCCCCTTTGGCGAAGCACTGCACCACCTTCAGGCCATGGGGAACGTAGTTCTCATTGTAAATCCTGCTGAGACAAGAGTGAAGCTAGGTTTCACAAAAGCCTGCTGGACTTGAAGCCTCTCCCTAAGGTACAGCAGCTTACTGACCACTGTCTCACCCTCGCAGCTTTACAGACACAAGGCTTAGCTGTGGCACCCCAGCTGATCACCACATCATCATCCAAGTAACAACCTGGGGAGGGACTTAGCTGGGTTTGTTTAAGCTTTGCTTTAATTCCAAACAGCTCCCTGGAGCACAACCACAAAACTAAAAGTGCCTTGTTAATTATCATGAAGAACAAGACTTTGCACCATTCATGAGGATCCTGGAGCGCTTGGCAAATGCTAATTAATTAGTAAACTAATTAAAGTTTACAAACATCCGGTGATATAGGCTGTGAACTTCTCAAGGCAGGAGACATGTGATCTATGGTCCCAATCCTACTGCAGCATCCCTGTGGGCATTTCCCTTCCCTGCTCAGCTCCACTACACTCTGTAGAGAGAACTGGCCACATCTGCAACTCCTTAGAAGCATTGGTAGCCACAGTGAAATACCATCCCCATTGTGCCAATGACAGATGTGAAGCTCAAGCTAGTGAAGTGGCTTATCAAAAAGCCATGCAATAAGCGATGGCAGCACTGGGAACAGAACTCCAGGACTTCTGCTCTAACCTCCAAAAGACTCGCATTTGGTTGTGGACACTGACTCATTGAGGCAATGTAAGATGTTACCAAGAAGGGCAGACCCCATCCTCCAGAAGTGCTTCACAACAGCTGCAATAAAGAGCTTCAAAGAAGTGTGGACCAGATGCCTGCCTTCACACAGGGAAACACTATATGTGGCCTATATCTCCAGTCACTTAAAAAGATGGAGTACTGGCCAGGTGAGGTTTTTAAGTTTACCCAGTGCTCGTTGCAGAATGTAAAATATCATGAACGTCACTCTGGACAACTACAATAGTGCAAGGGCACAATGGGGACTAACCTTTTTCAAGGTACATTTGGAGGGTCCATTGTCCTAAAGCCACCAACCTGAGAAGGGCTCTTTTTGCCCTTTATGGTATGTCATGAAGCATGTCAAAAATATGAAAAAGGACCATCTAAAGAGGCCCAATTTGAAAAATCAGGCCACTCACTGGGGTGCCTAATTAAGAATATGGAAACTATACTTGAGAAAATCATCCCTGTAATGACCGTATGACCAGAATTTTAAGAAAATGGGTTCCTTTAAGAAGTTAGGTTCCCATATCCTTAATTAGGCAGCCCAATGTGTAGCCCAGTTTTCCAAATAAGGCACTTGAACAGATGGCCTTAATATGGATTTAGGAGCCTAAGTTTAGACAGCCATTGTTTTGAAATTTCAGTGCCAATGTTTGCTAGGATATTGGTGACACCTGGACTGGTAAAGGACATCTGGAATATGGTGTTACCACTTCTCCTTAAACTGATACAGCTTTGCCGATGAAAAGGCAAAACGGTGGCAGACCTGTCTACCCACCTTATTCTAACAAAGGACACTGCAAGGGTATTGTAACTGCTTGGCAGAAGTGGAGCTGGGAAGTCCCAAGTTTGCAATATGACAATTAAACAGAGTTTATAATTCTACTAAGCAGGGGGCGATTCATCTTTGTTCTTGTTTTGTCATGTCTGGCTTCCTTGGGGATCAAAATATCCTTTCAGAAAGAGGAGAGCACAACACAAAATCTAACCTGGAGCTGATAAATTTTAGAACTTTTGCAATCAAAGCTGAAAGCCAATTTGCCAGTCTAGCAATCCTTCCCACAGTAGACCATACTATGCTACCAGATACTTAGCTGTGGACTAGTAACAAGCAAGGCTGCCTGATGCCTCCATTTTTAGATATAAAATCTGTTCAGTTAGAACTGAATGGAAAGGGCTGAATCATTCATACTCATAACTTGGTTTTCAATGGAATGAGAAAAAAAGACAATGAATTATACATTTCTCTCCAGAGTTGTATTAGGTTTATTAACTACCATTAAACCTTCCTGCACCCTGTGTGCACACTTAAGAAAGTTAAAACTAAACACAGGATCTAAGCTGGGTAAGAATGTTTGGAAAATTTAGTGCTCAAGACCAGTTAAATTACATCCCTCCTCAGCTGGAAGGGTGGAAAAGGATGAAAGGAAAGCAGTGCATGGGGACCCCCCACAACTCTCTCTACATTGAGTCCTGAAGAACATTATCAATTTGGGCTATTTTTACGAGTCTGGGAAAAGCTGCTGGAATGCAGTTAAGCAGTAGGCTTGAAGCCATGTTAAAACTCCAAGTACAATGTGAATCTTGCATTACATATGCCATATCAGCAGGATGTTTAAATCAGGCAGAATGGGAAAATGGCAAAATCTGCAATTCCAGTTAAGTGAGAAAATCTTGCTTGCTACTTCCTGGCAGGAAGGCCTTGAAATAAATACCGTTTCACTTAAGGATATGAGTAATAGCAATGGACATAACCAAATGTACCAGATGCAATAGTACTGTAACAGCTATACCTGTTTTCACAGCTTATCTAAGGCACATTTAAAAAAGGCAGCCTTGTCAAAGAAGACCACAAAATAAGAAGAAAGGAGAACAGGATGATGGTAAGAGAGACATGCCAGAAGGCTGAAGGAAAAAGAAAACAGTAGAATTCCAAAAACTGTAAAAATACACAGGAATACAAATCCCAGCTAATGAACACCTCCTAGGACTATGGAAGAACTTGTTCCTAGAGTCTCAGTAAAACAAAAACAAAAAAATTGAACCCAGGATGTTTACTAGCATGAACATGTTTGCATAAATAAGGGGTATGGACTGGACAAGGAGAGGGTGGGGGGAATCTGAGAACTAAGAGGATCCAAGACAACCTGCCAGTCTGTGGGCTGTCAACCCCTTACCCACAAAACTTGCCAGATAAGAATCTGTATTGCAGTCACAAGTAGCGAGACATATACTGAAGTAAACATAATGACTTGTGCTTTGGGGTATGTAACAATAAGAGGTTAGGCTGCAGACCTGTCTCTTGCCTCATATTGGCAGCCAACTTACCAAACCACCTGTAATGCAGGAAGCAGCAGAGCCGGAGTCAGAAGGTCATGGGACCAGCACTAGCAATAAGAGAATGGAAAGCTGGGAGAGCTAAAGCAGGGCTTGTATTTCACAGGGCATCAGGGTGAGAAAATAGAGCAGGCAGCGCCCAGGGATGTCAATGCCCTCATGGTAAAGTGCTGGAACCTTCTCTCTTCCTTTCCACGCAAAAAATACTGAGCCCAAAATCATCTTTACCATAAATGCACATATTTTAATGGGCTTATGCTTGTCCAATTAAATGCTCAATCTTTCTGCATACATCAGTTCCTCCCAGTCCTGAACAGAGATGCCTTTTAGCCTAACAGTAAAACCAATTCTTTTGACAGGTTGGCTGATGCTGAAGGGATATTAAGATAACCAAGGGAATTCTTAAAAGTGTTTTGCAGGGAGTAGAGGAAGCGTGGGGGGAAGGGAGAAAGTCAGAATACTTATTATTTAGCACTGCAAATGTTCTTATGACTTTTGGTGCTGTCCTACTAATTATATGAGGCTCTACATGCCCTAATGCACATACCCCTTCTTACATACATTTAAACCTAAAGCATACATAGACATGCACATGTATCTAAAATACTACATTGCATTACTGGGCTCTGGTTGTACCTGGTTTCCAGTTCTGCTGCTTCCTGGAGCATCTCTGGTGTAATGGTCTCTCTGTCAAAAAAGTCTTTGATTCCTTGCAGCAGCTCCTCCCTCCTGGAGTCAGGCAGGCTGCCCGCGTTCAGCAAGGCACGGGCCCCAGACCGAACCTGACGGCGGTGGGGGTCCTCCAAGAGGCGTACCCCTTCCTCACAGCCAATGGGGGCTGCAAACTCCTCTGCAAGTTGCTGCTTGAGATGGTTGTCATAGTAATTGGAGATGGCATGACAAGAAGTACAAAGCAGCAGCACATCATGGGAGTTGTGGTCCTTCATTTGGATGGGGAAGTGTCTCCTGTACTCATGAGGTACAATGTTTTTCCTATTAAGGAAACAGTAGCATTCTCAGCTAAGCTCCAGGCACCATCTACTGTAAATTCCTAAATTAAACATTGATATTCAATTATCTGAAGGGTGGTTACAAAGAGAATGGAGCTAGACTGCTTTCAGTGATGGCAGATGACAGGACAAGGAGCAATGGTCTCAAGTTGCAGCGGTTGCAGGGAAGTTTAGGTTAGACATTAGGAAAAACTCTCATTAGGAGGGTAGTAAAACCCAGAGAAGAGAGGTGGTGGAATTTCCATCCTTGGAGGTTTTTAAGACCCACCTAGACAAAGCTTTGGTTGGGATGATCTAGTTGGGGATGGTCCTGCTTTGAGCAGGGGGTTGAACTAGATGACCTACTGAGGTCCCTTCCAATCCTAATTTTCTGTGATTCTATAATTTTAATGAAGGAAACCATCACATGCATTGGGACTTTCTATATTTGGTGTCAGCCCAGAAGCAAACTTTATTTTTAAAGTTTGTGGACAATCTTTTAGGTTCCTTTTGAACAAGCAATGGTAAAAAAAAAAAAATCCCTCACAACTTTATAGATATTCCTTTAAAAAAGGGGGGGAGCCAGAAAAAACATCAATAAAAATGGCACTATATCACTTCTGTGTGCATCTGAAGGCCAAACTTATGACTTCAGTGACAGAAAAGCATGTTTCACTTTCTACTGCTGATAGCCCCATGGAGACAAAACAGATAAAGAGAGAACAAATGAGAGTTTATTCTGGATTGTGCACCACCAATATTCCTAATGGAAATCCCAAGCAAGATCTCCCAAATGAATGCATATGCACTTATCTAAACTCACAGGAGTAGCCTCATTAACAAAGAGACTACGTATGTATAAATAAGCAGGGGCTTTGGTGCTTGCAAGACTGGGGCTTTAAAGTCTAAATGCAAAACTAAATCCTGCCCTCATATGCAACTGTATATCCACAAATAAGGCAAAGAGGCAGCTAGCTGTTGTAGCTAAAAGTAACATCTAGTTTCCAAGAATTCCTGCTATGGGGGATGTGAGAAGCCCAAGTGAGAAGTCCTGCTTGTCTTTCAGATCCCAATATGGAGGGTGGGCTGTGAGTAAAAACATCCTCTGTAACCTAGGTAAGCTTGCTTTGGCAGCTGTTGAGACACAATCAGAAAAGCACCCCATCTTACTGTTTTTACAGGGGACCTTTTCAAAGCAGATTAAGGATTTTAAGATGAAATGCACGCGCTTATTCTAAAATAAAACAAGATTCAATGCAGCTAAATACATTTATTTAAGGTTGGCATGTTACTCAGTCTTCCCAGAGGCTTCCAGAACAAAATCAAATTTTAGAAAGTTACAAGCAATTGCACAACTACAAATGAGCATACTCAGTTAGATGACTGCTCATTTTCAGCAGCCTATACACGAGAGCTGAAGTGGAAAGAAACAGTACTTTTTTTCCGCCTTGACTGTCTAAGGGATTGGCAAGGATAAGAACACCTGCTTGGGAAACTCTGAAAGACAGAGAGACTATGTAGGCCTCCATAAGAAACAAAACTATTTTTCAACATTCTGCCCATAAAGACAACAAAAGCAAGGGTGCACCCTTCCCATTGCCAACAGAAGGAATCTAAGCCTGGAGACCCCAAACTGTCACACGAACTTTTTAAGCTTCTCCCCATCATTTTTGTTACATTCTTCAAATATTCAGCATTTCAAAGCTTTAATTCCTCTCTTAATATAAGTAAAGCTGTCCCAATATAAAATGGATGACCAGCTGTTCAGTTCAGATAACCCTGAAGATACTGCCCTCAGCTAAACAATAGCAGTCATAAAAACTCACCTTTCCCCCATACCCAGCCACTACAAGCTCATACGAGCTATTTAAGTGTTAACAGGCTTAAAAATAGAGTAGGGTTACTCTCACAAAAGGAAAAAAAACCCAAAAAACGAAATGAAAAGATATGCATGTAATGTGCATCACTGGTCTTCCCAGGCTGGACCACAGCATGTATGTTTCTGGTTATAGCCCTCTGCTGGAGAGAATGCTGACGTGTATGGTGTCAGACTTGCCACACAGCATGATCACATGGCTTTCTTATAGCTACAGCAAACCAAGGAGGCAAACCTTCTGTTTTCCACAAGCCTGATTGTTTTGTACATGACATAAACAACTACAAACACTAGCCTCTAGAAACAGGAACCTAAGCTAGATCAGGGGGATTCCTTCTACCAAAAGGATTCTTATTCCCTGAATGGCACAACTCACCGGATGTAGGACTCTCTCTTGCCACAGACTACACAGAGATTCTCCTTGACTGTCAGGTAATAATCAACCTGGGACTCGGGACGTCCCGAGGGCTCAAACTGCAACTTTACTACAAACGGATCCATGCTCACCAGCTCTGGAAGGGTAGAAGAAAAAAACAGGCCTTTGACAGTTGAAGAAAAACTATGGGTGGGAGCTAGATTGTTAACATGAAGGTGAGAGGGCACATCCTGTTTAACCCTTCTCCCAGCATCTCCAATAACTAGATATCAACATTTGAACCCCAACTTAAAGGTTTAATCTCTCAGCTAACTATCTTGGCAAAGTGGAAATCTTTCACAGATGCAGACTGATATGTGGCCTGTCATACGTACCTCCAATGCCCTTGTCCAAGTACCACTGGGCCTTCTTGCGATCGCAAGTGCACAGAGGCTGTCCGTCTGGCGCATGCAGAAAGCAGTTGTCATACAAGGGAGATTTTCTGTGAAATGAGGTCAATGTCAACAATTAATAGGCAACAGGACCCCAAAAAGGAGCTTCCTGTAACCGTGTATTTCACATTGCATTCAGTCAGCTTCCTTCAAGGCAACTGCATACCCTCAGTAATAAAAACACTCCATACAACTGCTCAGCAACATGTACTTATGGGCTGGGCACTGTATGGGCAAAATCAGCTATTGCCAAGGATAATAAAATACTGTCCAAAGAATAACTGCTGGCTGTGAAGGGTATATGAGCTCCCAGTTACCTTACAGCAGCCAAAACCCAAGGAGCTGGGACTTTCAACTCTGTTTCTATAGTTACCAATAACAAGTCTCACATTTCAAAATTAAAAATAAGTAAACCTCAGGAAACTGGAACATAAAAGGGAAGGCTAAGCTAAAGTGCATCAAAGACATGCGATCTACTGGAACTGGGGCTCATGTGTTAAGGGTTTCTGATATGAATGTAATTGTTTTCATAAATAAAGAAGCTGCATGTGGCAAGGCAAGAGTGCCTGGACTAGGAGTGTGAGCAGTCACATGTTAACCCCTCAGAGACTGGATGTGACCAATGGGCCACCAGCTAGACAGCCCTGTTCTAGTATATTCTCCCAGCAGTCCCTTCCAGCATACCCTCCAACATTTGGTCTCATCTAGTTTTAAATGTCTTTCATTAAACGGGTTTCTTCATTTTAAAAAAATCACACTAAACCTGAAGCTGTATCACCATTTGCTCAGAATTCTGTTATAGCAAGGATTCACTTTTTCCTAGGGGTCTGATCCTTCTTGATTTATTTGATGCTTGCTCTACATAGATTCTGAAATGATGAAGTGACCATAAAAAAAGAATGCATGATGCAAAAGAATTTGGTGATTTCTGTTGTAGTTGTTAGAGAATACTAAAGGAGCCAATATTATGGGCACCACTAAATTGGCCCCTTCCCAGCTTAAAGGAAGATCATAAAGGAGAAAGTGAATAGTGAAACATCTACTTTTCATCTGGCTGCATCTGTGACTGAAAATGTTTAACTTCCCATGTTTGCATGCATAAAATCTGACATACCCAAATAAAACCTAAAATCAGTACCATGTCTCCCCATGCTGGGATCAGATTAAGATTTAACCTGATTTGCTTTTATTTATTTAATTTAAATACATTGTATTTTATTTAAATTTAAATAAAACAAATAAGTAAAATAACTGGACATGGACATGCAGACTCCACTGCTACAAAATAACTGAGACCTTGGATGGTAGTTGAGGTTTGATGTTCTGTCTCCACGCAGTGCCCATTCTGGACACTCTGGAAACCATGTCACATGTGGTTCCTGTCTTGGATGCTCCCAGACTCACTATGCATAGCACCTGCTCCAATTGGTCCAGAACCAGGACTGCATTGCTGGAGCAGGCACCACATGCGATGCAGTCCTGACCTAACTACTGAGGGTTTTCCATGCAACATGGATCTTGGAGTGGGTGCCACAGGCACTGGATCCAGCACATGGGGTGAAGGGAAGGGAGTCTGGGATTCATGGGCTTGCTGGGCTGATCCAGGCCGCAGACCAGCCTTGCATCACTCATTTGACCAGTAGGGCCAGATAAGTTTGACATACCTGGGCTACAGGCATCCATCAAAAATCCTCTTCCTGCAAACACAACTAAAGGTGCATATATATATAAATAAAATGCTCATGCAATTACCTTGCAGAATATCCCACACCCAGGGGCTTCCGCTTTTGTTTCCGAGGGTCTTTCCCTTGCTGATTGACCATGGACTGGCCATTGGCTGCAGGTTTCCGATTCCTTGGTTTCTGCTGGGAGTCTGCCTCTCCATTCCCATCATCTCCTAGGCTGCTACTGCTTCTTCCTCTGAATGGGACGTCCATCAATCCCTGGCACTTACCCACCACCTTCTCCCATGCAGTGATGGCATTTTGACCTTCAAATGTAGCAGGGAGGAGGGAACATCCCAGAAGATGGAGAAACAGAGCTACTGAGACCTGGGCATCTTTGGCAGCATACATGATCTGGTGGGGGAGCAGCAAGAGCACAACATTATTGTTCAGCAGACAGCAACAAGCCAAACACCGTGTGTGGACTGGAGTCAAGTTTCACCCAAACAGTGAATCTTTAACAACATTTGTAGTAAAGCCAAAAACAGCCTTTGTTCTGCTTAGATGCTTACACTGAGCAGCAAAGTGAGGGGCTTACAATAGTAATACTTCCTACTTATAGCAACAGTCCCTGGCCTCCCTTTCATTACACAACCTGATGCCAGTATAGCAACCTACTGTATAGATATTTATCCTGTGCCTCCCCCTAGTGGTCTCTGACATTCTAGAAGCAACGATTTTTGCGGATACCTTTTATTGGACCCACAAGATATTCCTCCCAGCTATACAGTAGGTCCAATAAAAGGTATCCCCCACAAAAATCCTCATCCCTCACATTTTTCCTGGACCATCATGGCTGCAACATCACCCCAACTCTACCATTGACATTCAAGCTGTTTATAGTATAATTTCAAAGCAGATGAGTGAAGAAGCAAGTGGGGTTCCTGAAAGATTTTCACACCCACACACACACACCCACACACAGTAGACTTCTGCACACCAAAGAAACTTACTGACAGGCTGTGTTCAAAAGGCATACCCAGAGCTTTATGTAGTTAGCTCCCTTCTCTCAAGGAGCTGAATAATAATCTGCTCATCAGGGGCACTATCCTAGAACCAGACCACAGCTATGAAATGTTTAAGCAAAATTTAATATCTTCCATGCTTTCAGCTTGTTGGCTGTAGCTGGCCTGGTCTAAGGACACAGGCAGGCAAGGTTCTTTTGGTACACATGATATGATATCTTTTATTAGACCAAGTAAATAGTTGGAAAAATTGTTCTTTACAAGCTTTTGGGCACACATACCCTTCTTCAGGCATAGGGAGAGTTTAGTGGGTAGAATATGCATTTTGCATCTTGGCTTCTATTCTACCCAGGAGAGCACACATTACACCAGCAAACTCACCCTGTACCTGAAGAAGGGTGTTTGTGCACAAAAGCTTGCAAAGACACTTTTTTCCAACTATTTACTTGGTCTAATAAGAGGCATCACATCTACCCAAAGAACCTTGTCTGTCTATGTCTAAGCAAAGCATTCAAGCTTATGCTTAACTTCAAGCACAAGAAGTCACATTCAAATCCTCACATGCATGGGTGGATCAAAGCAAGAGTGCTCAGCTCTTTCAGAGCCAGAGTGCTGAGCGCCATGAGATGCACAGAACACAAAACCCTTGCAGATTAGCAGTTACCAGTTTCTGGAGCTTCCCTTGAAATAAATTAACACTTGGCACTTCAGCCACTGCTGGCATTGAAAAAGGCATTGGAAGAGGCATTAGTGATTTTCAGGCATTAAACCTTGAATTCTGGTCCCCCACTCTAGGAGACAGGAAATCAGCCCTATTGAAAGAAAGGAAAGTAGCAGTACAGAGAAGGAAAGAGGGATATGAGATATAAGTCACAGACTGTGTTGGTGGCAGAGCTGGGAACTGACCTCACATTTCCCAAGTCCAACTAGAGGCTTTGATTACAACATTGTATGTAGCATTTTTGTGAGGAAGACTAATCAGAAGACACACCTGGTCCTGAGTCAGTTCTTCCACCTCCCAGTTGCTGCAGCGCAGGCTTGGAGACTTGTCAAGGGGGCAGTTCAGGACATTCTCGCACAGAGACTTGAGGCTAAGCCCATTCTGGAGCAGATCCTTCCTTCGGTTTAATAACAAAAGAGTAAACAGACAACCATCAAAGCAAACCAGAACTTCCCATCTGTCCAGATTCTGTTCAAACATGGTGAACAATAAAGAATGAGATGAGGTCCATGTTGGGGACCACTAGCAACAAGACACCTGCTCACTTGCTAATTAACTGTATTTTCCAAGCTAGCATGGCTTTTGCTTAGGGGTGCACTGATAGAGATTTGGGGGGCCGATACAGATAGATGATTTTTAAGGAGGCATATCAGCTGATACGGATCCAATTTCTGATACAGTTGCATCCAGCTGGTAAGTCTGTTGTGGTGGAAGGGATGGAGGGGTGCAGATCAACGCCCCCCATAGTGAGGGAGAGTGGGGCAGGGGCTGAGGCTGGTGCTGCCCAGCCGGGGTAGGATGGAGCCGCGGCTTGTCCAGGGGTTGTGGGGAGGGGGTGCAGCTCCTGCTGCTGCGCGTACCCTGGGAGGGAACAGGGTAAGACATGTGCCCCCAGATCTGTGCGGGGTACAGGCAGGGTGGGCTACAGCTGTGCGCTAGGGCCAGGGCTGCACTGAGCTCTTCCTGGCACATGGTGGGAAATGGGGGGTGGGCCAGGGCTGCACTCAGGGTGGGCAGTGGCTATGGGGGGGTCTACAGCAAAATTTGGGGTGGCAGCAGCCTCCCCCATAACCTCCCTCCCAGTGCCACTGCCACCCCCTCTGAGCACAGCCCCAGCCCCTGCCCCACTCCCTCCCACACTGCAGGGGACATTGATCTAATCCCCCACACCCCTTCCCTCCTCCCTCTCCTTCCACAGCAGACTTACCAGCTGCACACAACTCTTCAAGCTGCCTGCATGCTGCGCTCCAGCTGCATGGGCATTTATCGGCCAAATCAGGCCAATTTCCAATACAGTTAATTTTCTTTATATTGGTGTTGATCTGATATCAGACTGATGTATCGGTGCACCTCTACTCGTGCTCCCTTAGTTTACTTATACATTTTAGAGCGTTAGATCACAAACCTCTCCTCTTGAAGCTGTTTTGCATAATATAAGCACTAGACTGTGGTGTACTGGTACCTATTACATGGCAAGCACCCTACCTGTCTAAACCATAGGATTTGGACTTGTAATAATCCAACTTTATGACCCCCAGAGCAGCCTCTATTGTTGTCCTGCAAGGTGGCCAAATGATGCTCCTAATTTGTATGCAAAACCAAAATTACAAAACACAAAATAAATGTGCACATGTACCTTTACTTGATTGTTGAACATTATCCATTATCTGCGATATGGCCCCACTTTACTTATCTTTAAGACTGGACAGGAGCAAGAGCAGTATTTTAGGTCAAAGCCAAATACTTAACTCGGCGATTCTCAACCCAGGTGCTACAAGATGCTGCAGAATATTAGCATAGTTGTGTGTGCAAACATGATTCACAAGATAAACCCAGAGATTTCAAACAGAAATGCATAGCGTCAAAACATTCTGACCCATTGTGATATTTCTGAATTTTCTGCAATAGAATCATAGAGTCATAGAAGTAGGGTCAGAAGGGACCTTGTAGATCTTCAAGTCCGACCCCCTGCCTGGGCAGGAGGAAAACTCGGCTCAAATGACCCCAGCCAGGTAGGCTTCAAGACTCTTCTCAAAGACTCCAAGGGTAGGAGCCAGCACCACTTCCCTTGGAAGTTGGTTCCAGATCCTAGCCACCCTAACTGTGAAGTAGTTCTTACGGATGTCTAATCTAAACCTACTCTCCAACAACTTATGGCTGTTATTCCTTGTTATCCCAGGGGGCGCTAAGGGAAACAAGGTCTCCCCCAAACCCTTCTGGTCCCCCCTAGTGAGTTTATAGACGGTCACAAGGTCCCCCCTCAGCCTTCTCTTGTGAAGGCTGAACAGGTTCAGGTCCCGTAGCCTCTCATTGTAGGGTCTGCTCTGCTGTCCCCGGATCATGCGGGCGGCCCTCCTCTGGACCCTCTCAATGTTGTCCACATCCCTCTTGAAGTGGGGTGCCCAGAACTGGACACAGTACTCCAGCTGCGGCCTGATCAGTGTCACGTAGAGTGGGAGGATCACCTCCTTGGCCCTACTTGAGATGCACCTGTGGATGCACGATAAGGTTCGGTTAGCCCTGCTGACCGTGACCTCGCATTGTCAGCCCATGTTCATCTTGGAGTCAATAATGACTCCAAGATCCCCTTCTGCCTCCGTGCTCTCAAGAAGGGAGTTTCCCAGCTTATAAGTGTGCCGCTGGTTCCCACTGCCCAAGTGCAGCACCCTGCACTTGTCAGTATTGAAACCCATCCTATTTTTGTTAGCCCACCTCTGTAACCTGTCCAGGTTAAGTCCAGAACTCCTGTATTATTTTCCCCACAGTCAAAAAGCAAAATAAATAAATAAACAAACTGAAATCTTAGCAGGCATTTTCTGAGGGGTGCCTTGACTGCGAAAAGGTTGAAAACCACTGTTTTAGCTTGAGGAGACGGAAACCCAGCATCAGCTGTCCAACTCTCTTCATTGCTAATGTATGGATAAAAGAACAGCAAAGTTGCCATTTAGCACCCTTGCACCTGGGATTATATGGAAGATAAAGCTGTCACCAGCACCATTTCAAGCCCTGGATGCTAGATGATAATGCACCAATACTGGAAGGCTTTTCCGCTGGTAGTAACAGAAGCAGCATTCTCCACAGTCTTTGGAGCCCATAAACACTTAAAATGGCTCCACAGACTGAAAGATTCTGCCTCAGAGGACAAAAATAAGTAGTGCACACTGATAGGTGAAAAGAAACCAGTTCAGCCCAACCCTTTGTTCAGAGAGACTAGATGAGCTTTCCCTTCTACCTCTTATTAGGTCTTTGTGATCTTGCAATTCAGTTCTGAGTTAAACTGATATTGTGAGCCCCTGAACAAAGTAGATGGCAGCATTCACTGAGATCCTAGGAGCTAGTTACAAAAACAATCACTATAATTGATACTAACTACTGACAACCTCAGCAGAGAAGACAAGGACTTGTCTACATTATTCCGTTGCTATAACTATGCCAGCATAGAGTTCCCTAGAGTACATACGGTGTATGGGGCAGAATTTTTTTCCTGGTGCCATCACTACCCTGTCTCTCTGAATGACATTAGCCAAGTCAGCAACAGCCTTCTTTTGTCAGCATAGCTGTGTCCAGAAGTTTTGCCACCATAGCTATGTTAATTAGAGGAGTGATCTCCCTTTTTTTTTTTTTTTTTCTTTTCAGTTCCTAGTCAGCATAACTTTGAAATGCATACCTGACCTGAATGGGCTACAGGGACTCTACTTCTCTCGCACTGGTACAGCTGGTCCCCCAGGTCAGGTATGAGACACTGCAAGGACACCTAGAGGGGAACTTGCATGGTTGCTACCCACACTGTTAACTGTACTGAGGAAGCACCAAGGACTTCAGAACTGCCCATGTGGCATCCTTCATCAAAATAAAGTCATTTTTACCATTTCTAACTCAAGTTGTACGACACAAGCAGGTTGCTCCTGTGCATGGGTACACACCTCTGTCGCATGGCTAGGTAACGGAGATCCACGCTCCCTTTGACTGCAAGGCCGTAGTCCTGAAGTAGCTTGCAGGCATCCTCCCAGCACCCCACTCCTACTTTTAATATGGTGCTATCTGCCAAGATGTCCAGTAAAGTCTTTGGGATAGTCCGTCCACTGTTGATGAGCCTGGACAAACGAACGAGAATGCAAAGGCCGCTGGAGGAAGCCATCTGTAAAAGGGATACGGGATTGGCCTTTCCTTCCACTGACACCTGGAACACAAGGAGTTGGGGTTGAGTACTAGTATCCAGGCCTGGAATAAGCCAGAACAGAACCACAGGGCACTTTTAGACATGCTCCAGGGGTGGAGTGGGGGGCACTTTAATCACAGCAGCTCCAAGAACCACTCTAATTAAAGCGCTGCAGTATCTCATGCATCAGCATCCCCAAGCTTCAAAATGGCCATGGGAGCATTTGAACTAAAGCTTGTTCAATAAGCTTTAGTTCAAGCACCCTTGCTGCCATTTTGAAGTGCAGGGACACTGATACACAAGACGTGGGAGGCTCTGAAGCATGGTAATTATGCTCTAGCAGAGTCAGTTAAGCAAGTCTGCTCTGACACCCTGTAATTACAGCACATCAGAGCAGCCTTCACGCTCATGTACAAGCAGACAGACAGACATTAAAGATGGGAAAGCCCTGATGTCACCCAATTCAGTCCAAACCTTGTCACACCACTGTAGCATTACACTGAACAGTGCATTCCCTAGAGCAGAGCTTTCCAAACTTTTCATGTTGGTGACACACTTTTTAGACGCATCATTTTGCGACACAGTAATTCAGTTCCGGGGGAGGGGCCAAGGGAAGCAGACGCGAGTAAGGGAGCTCCGCGGTGCACTTCCGCAAAATTTTCTGCATTTCACGTGACACACCTACACACTGCCGCCGACACACTGTGTCGCGGCACACAGTTTGGAAAGCTCTGCCCTAGAGCATTTTCTGGTCCAATATGAAGTGGCTGAAGCAATGCAACTTCTATCACTTTTCTTGGATGACTATTTCACAGCCTGCATTACTTGTTAAGTGCCTTTTCCTTATGTATGCAAGAGAAGTCCAGCCAGAAGTCTACCTCTGGATCAGGCTCTGTCTACAGGGCTGCTGTCACTATAATCAGTGGCCAGGCCCCTGGTGTGAATGTAGCTTGATAGCAGGCAGAGCCATATCACCAAAGCTTTCCAATTCCCCTGAATGACAGAGTTTCATCCACTATGGAGTGTGATTTTTACACATCACTAGTAGGCATAGCTCTGCCAGCAGAACTTTGTCATGTGAACTATTCTTCATTCCATTTGAAAACTTGCTGTGAAGCTTGTAGGGGAATTTCCCCTCCTGAGAGAGGTAATATTTTATATTACGTACAGTTTTCCCTCCTTAACTACTTTTAAAGCATCCCCTTATTTTAAGAGTTATGAGTAATTAACAATAAGTTAACTCAATGAGGCCCAATATCATTCCAATGATGCACCTTGAAAGAAACAGCATTCAAGTACATGATATAATGCTTAGCCACAGTTCTAATTCCTCCAACAGAACCAGTTAGATTCATCCCTGAAGTCTAACAAACAGCTGAACCAATATTTCCAAATCGATGGTGAGCCAATTTCAATTTCAAGTACAGTACAAAAATAATCATAAATTTTTAAATAAATGAATAAATAAATATTGATTCATCATGAATTTGGCAGTTTCAAGAGTCCAGTTGCTGCTGTGTCTATTCCAACAAGCAGGTGACTTTGATCAGGTGCCAGGCTTCATCCAATCCATCTCTGCTTTATCAGGCAGAAAGAGACAGCTTTCCTTTATCACTCACCCACTCACAGTCAACCCCAAGCACTGGCCACCTCTCCAGCTCCTTCTTCAGCAATGGTTCCACACCATCCCACTCCGCTGGCTCTGAAACAATCACAACTTCTGCTTCCAGGAACTTTTCCACCCAAGAAATGGCAGGATAGCTGAAGGGAAGCAGCTCCTTTTCTTCCACTGGTGTCAGTTCCTTATCTCCTGGCTCTCTTGCAGATCCTTCTTGTTTACAGTGGGTCCTTTCTTTCCGACGCCGAACGACCCCCCACAAAATCAGCCCCCCTGCTGCAATACCCAACAAGGCGGCAGCTGTGATCGTCACTGCTGTCTGTCTGGGCATTTTTCATCCCCGTCTGCTTCACCCACTCAGAACAGCATCACAGGACTTTCATCACAGCCTGCAAAAGAAAAAGGAGGAGGCATGGTAGTTAAATATAGCTTAGTTACAAGGTTTACAAAGCATAAAATGACATCATAGCTAGAGTCCTACCAGGAACTTGGGACCATAAAAATGAAGGAGGGCTTTTTAAAAGGCACTGAGCTTCATTTGGGGCAAGCCCAACAGGGACCAGGAGGAATGCCAAGAACAGCCACTGCACATCAAGTCACCCAGTGGAAGCAGACGCTGGCTTCCCATTAACCTGGTGTTTGTCCAGAACCGGGGTGAATCCATGAAGGATACAGTGGTTCAGTTGCACCCCCACTTTGGTTCCTACTCCACCCAAAGTTTAAAACAAACTGCCAGGCAGTGACAGCAGCATTTCTAGTCAGGCAGTGCTGAGGGAATGTATGGACTTCATGGCTCATTATGATCCACCTGATCACAGAATCATATTAAGGTTGGAAGGGACCTCAGGAGGTCATCTAAGCCAAACCCCTGATCAAAGCAGGGCCACCCCAAAATACATCATCCCAGACAAGGCTTTGTCTACCTTGGTCTTAAAAGCCTCCAAGATGGAAACTCCACAGCTTCTCTGGGTAACCTATTCCAGTGCTGCACTACCCTCCTCATGAGTTTTCCCTCATATCTAACCTGAACTTCCCCTGCTGCAACTGGAGACCATTGCTCCTTGTTCTGTCATCTGTCACCACAGAGAACAGTTTAGCTCCACCCTCCTTGCAACGAACCTTCAGATAGTTGAAGGCTCTCATTAAATCCCCCCCTCAGTCTTCTCTTCTCCAGACTGAATAAGTCCAGTTCCCTCAGCTTCTCCTCACAAGACCTGTTCCCCAGCCCTTGAACCATTTTCACTACACTCCGCTAGCCTCTCTCCAGTTTACCCTCATCCTTTCTGCAGCAGGAGACCCAAAACTGAACGCAGGACCGTGCTAGCGCAGAGTAGAGGGGAATCATCACTCCTGAACTCTCCATTTCAGGGGCGTTAATGATCTACGCTCCCCCTTTTTTTTTTTTTAATGGCCTTGATGCTCTGTTCAGCAATCAGGCCTTTCTGCTGCTGCGTTCGTTGCTGCCTGCCAGCTGCTCCTAGTAACCTGGCTCCTAGTTCAACAGTTTTAACTCATCCTAGTGAAGCTGTATTTGGTTTTGCTTCAGTTGCAACCAGGGTGCAAATAACACTTCAACTCTTGGGGTGGGGGGACTTAACACCAAGTTAAACTGGTCCATTGATTAACAAGTCCCCCAGGTTCTTTGGGTAGACATGACACCTTTTACTAGACCAACTGAGTAGTTGGAAAAAAGTTCTTGGCAAGTTTTTGTGTCCAATCACCTTCGCAATGAAGAGCGATTGCATCCGAAAGCTTGCAAAGAACTCCCTCCCCTACTAATCCAAAATATCACATCTACCCAAATAATCCTGCCTGCCTTTACCTTTAGACCAACACGGCTACAACACCCCCCTCCAGGTTACACTATCCAAATCTTACAGGGGGACTCTTGTCTCTGCCGGGGGGCTCAGCCCCCACACCGTGCTCCCCCGGAGCTCGGGCACTGGCTGCACCCGAGCGACGCGGCCCTCGCCCCTGGTGCCGGGCCCTGCTTCGGGTTTTTTCTGCCCTGGACGCAAGGGGGTGCAGTGGTAGGGGCACGGCGCCCCTCCCTTCCGCCCCTGCTGCAGACTAAGCCCCTGGGCCGAGCAGGCGGCTAGGCCCGTGCGGAGCCGGCTCGCGTCCACAGAGATTTGAAGGGCGACACCGGCGGGTGCTGCCCCCCCCCCGGGCCTTCTCGCGGGATCAGGATCGGGCCGCAGCCCGCGACTCCCCGCAGCGCCAGTCCTCTGCCCCCGCTCCTGGACCCGCGGCGGCTTAGCCCGAGCCAGGCGCTTGCAGGTGGAGCCCGGGGGCTCTGGCACATGAATGCGAGACAGGCCGAGCCAAGCCATGCAGCCGGGGGATTGCCCACGCCCATCCCCATCCCCATCGCGCCCCTCACCTGCCCGGAAGGCGGCAGCATCCATCGACCGGAACTCTCCGCGCTGCGGCCGCCGCACCCACCCGGAACTGCTGATCTGAAGGACACTTCCGGTCGCCGGGGGGTTCTCAGGGGAAGGAGTTCCCCGGGTTCTGCCTCTGGGTGCCGCCATGTTGTACGGAAATCGCCTCTGTTTGGCGCAGGGGCTCGGACCGGGTTTCTCTAGGCACAGTGGCTTGCGCGGTATGCTCCTCGGGCCCCAATGCACCTTTGTTCCGTGTGACTCATTTGCATGGGCTGGTGAGCAGGGATGGAGGCACCCTGCTAGGCTGGAGGCACTAAGGAGTCAGGGGCCTGGCAGCTTCGGTACAAGTGGGCCATCATCATCGTCCGAGTCCCCAAGGTCTGGAATAGCCTGCCACAGGAGGTGGTTCAAGCACCTACTTTGAACGCCTTCAAGAGAAATTTGGTTGTTTATCTTGCTGGGATCCTATGACCCCAGCTGACTTCCTGCCCCTGGGGCAGGGGGCTGGACTTGATCTTCCGAGGTCCCTTCCAGCCCTAATGCCTATGAAATCCTTCCTGCGCCCAGGATGAAAAGAGCAGATGGTTCTAGCAGCCCTGCAAAGTGTCTGCTCAAGTCCTGCTTCCCTGGGTCAAGAGAGGAAGCTGCAGGGCTTTTGAGTGACTCAAATAATTGCACCCTCCTGCCTGCACCTGTGTCCTCCTCTTTCTCCTGCCAGGAGCTGCTTAGAAGGTGGAGCAGAAAATGTAAGAGGTGGTGGAGACTGGAGGGATCTGTGTGGAACAGCTCCATCTGGGAACTGGCCATCTGATCCTGCAGTGGAGATGTCCCACTCCTGAGGGAGGAGGCTTAGGGGGAGGAGAGGGATCCACCTGCTGAAGAAGACCATACCAATCACCCTTTGGGCACTGAGACTGAGTCTCCCTGTGAAATGGAGACAAGACTTAGTAATTCGGGGAGATAATTGCTGGACATGTTGCTGGCTGGGAATGTGGTGGACATGAGAAGGGAAAGCCCTTGTAGAAAATCTCTTAATTATAAACTTGGTTTGTGTGTGGGAGCAGTCTGGCTGTGGCATGTGTTGGTACCAACACTATTGGGAAGTAAGGGGAAGAAGCACGGGTGACAGAAGTTTGAGGTAGATGGTGAGGAGACATGGTTAAATCCTGAGCCTATAGCAACTTCCTGTGAAATGCTTCCAGATTCCCATCTATGCCTGGCTAGACAGAAGAAACTCGAGACTCTAGGCATGAGGATAAGAAGATGGTATAAAGTACATGGATGTCAAATGTATGGCCTGCAGGCCAGATTTGGCCCGTGAATCTCAGATTGACTCTGCATACTGTATGCAACATGCAAAGCTGGTCTGGTGTGCAGGCTGGACCCTGTGCTATGGAGTTTAGCCTGTGTGCTAGGGAAATAGTTCTACTGGTTCAACCCCTAACATGTATGCAGTTATAGCAGAGTAAAAAGAAATGCATGCCTTTATTTCCATTATATCTGGATAAAAGTATTTCCCTTCCCTTATAGGAACAGTTATTTTTGCATAAGCACCTTTATCCTTTACCTGTGTCCACACCAAATCTGGTATTCATCTTTCCACCCACACAATAATTTAACCTTCATACTTAAGCAAGTTAAAGCAACTGATGCACGTGTGCATTTTGACAAAAACACAAGCTCCAAATGTCTGACAGGAACACTGCAGAAGACAAGGAGGTAGTCAAGTATGTACAACTCAACTGCTGGCTTATCTTTATTTATGTGGCAACTGTATCAGCATTTAACTAGGACTTGTGTGTAAGGTGTACAGCTGCCTAGTTAGGAAAATATTTTTCTTTATCTCAATAGTCAGATTTAAGATTTCTGGAGGGATTTCAGCCAAAATCCCACTTTTTTACAATCATGTTGGCTCAGCTCTCAACATGGAGGAGGCTAGAATACATCACTCCATGCTCAAGGGAAAAGAACAAAAAAAAGGCAGTACTTCAGAATAAAAAAAAAGAGGCTTGAGTCTAGAGGTTTGAAGGGCTGGTAGCAGGCAAGGAGCAGACCACTTGATATAATCCCCCTTGCCCCAGTGATAACTAGAATACACATTGTGTGGAGGATGTGATTCTGCATACCACCAGCAGGCCAAAATCTTTTTTAAAATAATTATCACTCCCCTTTTAAGTCAAAATGGGAGCTGCAGTGATAACTGCCTGAGTTTGCAGAGAATCTGAGGCTAAAAACAGACAACTGGTTTCATCCACGGCTGATTAATCTGAGATTTGACTGCATCAAAAGAAGTGTGGGACACTCATTTACACATAAGGCTTAAATGGCAATGAACTGCAATTAGCTACAATTGCTCCAAGGCAAAATATTCATTCTTCACAGGTACTTAACATGGGACAAGAGGCTTGTCCCTCTGGAAGGGGTTTGCAGGGACTGGAGGAGCTCAGATAGAATTCAACCGTTTAACTTTTTGCAGGGACAAGAGGAGCTCAGATAGAATTCAACCGTTTAACTGGTTGACTGTTTTGAGCTTGAAGGATAACTGCCCATATACCTCAGTGAGAACTACTGAAACAGCAATAAGTTAACTACGTGATTATGTTTGTATGAAGAGAAAGATGGTCATTCCATGAAAAACCTCACAATGTACCCTGAGTGACAGTAGGTCTTTGGGGAGAACCTCTTTTCCTCTCCACCCATCCAGCCTGTGATACAAAACAACCTAAAGAAGAATGAGAGCCAGGAGGTACCTGAAACCCACCCAACCAGAGGGAAGAGAGTTAATCCCACAGGATCAAAGAAGACAACCAGTTTGATTTGGATTTAGGCTTTGACTCCCAGCAATCCCCAGACTTTACAGATAGACAAGTTCATTGTCCTAAATTATTGTAAGTACCTGTGAAGTATCCAAATTAACACACTGCCTTAAACCTCAGGTGTTCAGTGTCCTACAACTGTTTTGAGTGAAATCTCAGACTAATTAATATCAAATTGAACAGCTGTCTGTTTTTAGCACTGAGACCAAAGGGGCATCCAAGTCCCACCTTGTGGGAGGTATGCCCAGGTGAGCCTCACAAAACATCTAAACTGCACCCAGAGAGAAGCTAAACCTGAGGACCCCAGTGGAGTACTCATGATCAGACTTAGAATCATAGAAAGTTAGGGTTGGAAGGGATTTCAGGCAGTCTAGTACAACCGCCTGCTCAAAGCAGGACCAGCCCCAACTAGATCCTTCCAGCCAAAGCTTTGTCTAGCCAGGTTTTGAAAACCCCCAAGGAGAGAGCTTCCACCACTTCTCTGGGCAAAAATGTTTCTTGTGCCCATGTTACCCAGGTGAGCCACTGGGTCTGCACCCAGGCTTGAACTCACAACCTTCCTGCTAATAGCTCAGCAGACAAACCTCTTTGAATCATTTATTGTAAAAGGCATTTTGGTGGGGCTTGGTTTATGGGCAGAACATGAAAGAGTATGGACAAGCTATTCAAGTATCAGGATGGAAAGAACTTAGAATGGAAAGGAATGTTTTGCCTTGTGTGGAGAAAAGAGTAAATGGATAAGGACATTGTCAAGAGCTATAGGGACTAAGATGAGCTCCCAGGTTATGGGGCTGATAAAACTCACAGTTGTTTAGGGGTAATACAAAAGTGCTACCAATTATATTTTGAATACTGTTGACAGTACATTCAGCTAGCTGCTTTTGCAGCTATAGAAATACCCTTAAATATATTCAAATGTGATCCTTCAAATACTTAAGGCTGCATAATAAACATTTGGAGAGATGCGCTGTAGAAAATAACTTGTGATGATGAGGCTTAAAGTGCTGTCTGTAAACTTCCAGGAACAATTATTTCAAACGCAAAATCTTTCAGCATTTAGGACCTGCACTCTTTAAAGTCAAAGATAAAACTTCCATTGACATCAAATGCAATTAGGGCCAGTCCTTTAAAATTAGGTTCTTCTCTGAAGAAAAACTTGGAGGAAAAGGGAACGAGAACGAACATCTATATTTAGTGTTGTCCCTCTACCCGCTCCCAGCAACTACTGAAGATTGCATTTGCTCAAGTGACAGCTTGAAGAACTTTTTTTTTTTAATGGCAAATTCTGGAACCTAATCCTGGGTGCTAAAAGTTCAACTGGCTACTTTCCTGCTCATAAATCATTAGAAAATATTTGAGCTACTAAACTGGGTAAATGACATGCAGTCTCCCCAAAAAACCCCAAACAAACAAAAAACACACCCACTAAACATGGACAAATGCTAGTCACACTATTTTTATAATGCATTTCTGGAAAGTGCTCAGATGTCATGATGATGTGAGTGCTGTTAGAACCTTTGATAAACTAGACTTGAACCCCACAGTGTCATCTTTATGCACTGTTAGAATGTAGCTACCTTTCCAACATGGAGCAATTGCTAGCAGCCAATATGGATTTGTTGAGAACAAATCATGCCATACCAATCTGATTCCTTGCTTGGACAAGTTAACTAGAATAGGTAATAGGAATTCAGTGGACAAAAGATACCTGGATTTTAGTATGGCTTTTGACACAATCCAACATGCCATTATCAAGTAAGTGAGGTTCAAGAGGTTCCATTTGGAGGCCAGGGGTAGAGGTTGTAGCCGTGTTCTTCATTGACTGCCTGTCTTGCATGTATACCAGCCGCTGGCTGCTTTCCTATTCATTCCATCCAGGAAGAGCACACACCAACTGCAGATGCTTCCTCAGCCTGATGAGGGGTATTTATACTGAAAAGCTTGCAAAGAAGAATTTTTCCAACTATTTGAGTTGGTCTAATAATAGATATCAGATTTAACCAAAGAACCATTTGGAGTCTAGTGTTTTTTAACATTTTTATTAATGAAATGGATGCAGAGAGAGACTGCAATGACTAAATTTGCATACCACAAAAAACCACGGGTCTGATGCTGTTAAATATGTTTATTACATTATTTGAATCCTGGAACTG